TGAGGTTGGTGTTGATATCCTCTTTATCATTTTTTATTGCGTCTATTTGATTCTTCTCTCTTTTCTTCTTTATTAGTCTTGCTAGCTGTCTATCAGTTTTGTTGATCTTTTCAAAAAACCAGCTCCTGGATTAATTGACTTTTTGGAGGGTTTTTTGTGTCTCTATCTCACTCAGTTCTACTCTGATCTTAGTTATTTCTTGTCTTCTGCTAGCTTTTGAATGTGTTTGCTCTTGCTTCTCTAGTTCTTTTAATTGTGATGTTAGGGTGTCAATTTTAGATCTTTCCTGCTTTTTCTTGTGGGCATTTAGTGCTATAAATTTCCCTCTACACACTGCTTTAAATGTGTCCCAGAGATTCTGGTATGTTGTATCTTTGTTCTATTGCTTTCAAAGAACATGTTTATTTCTGCCTTCATTTCGTTATGTACCCAGTAGTCATTCAGGAGCAGGTTGTTCAGTTTCCATGTAGTTGAGCAGTTTTGATTGAGTTTCTTAATCCTGAGTTCTAGTTTGATTGCACTGTGGTCAGAGAGACAGTTTGTTATAATTTCAGTTCTTGTACATTTGCTGAGGAGTGCTTTACTGCCAACTATGTGGTCAATTTTGGAATAAGTGTGATGGGGTACTGAGAAGAATGCATGTTCTGTTCATTTGGGGTGAAGAGTTCTGTAGATGTCTATTAGGTCCACTTGGTGCAGAGTTGAGTTCCATTCCTGGATATCCTTGTTAACTTGCTGACTTGTTGATCTGTCTAATGTTGACAGTGGGCTGTTGACGTCTCCCATTATTATTGTATGGGACTCTAAGTCTATTTGTAAGTCTGTAAGTACTTGCTAATCTGTGTGCTCCTGTATTGGGTGCATATATATTTAGGTTAGTTAGTTCTTCCTGTTGAATTGATCTCTTTACCATTATGTAATGACCTTCTTTGTCTCTTTTGATCTTTGATGGTTTAAAGTCTGTTTTATCAGAGACTAGGATTGCAACCCCTGCTTTATTTTTGTTTTCCATTTGCTTGGTAGATCTTCCTCCATCCCTTTATTTTGAGCCTATGTGTGTCTCTGCGTGTGAGATGGGTCTCCTGAATACAGCAAACTGATGGGTCTTGACTCTTTATCCAATTTGCCAGTCTGTGTCTTTTAATTGGAGCATTTAGTCCATTTATATTTAAGGTTAATATTGTTATGTGTGAACTTGATCCTATCATTGTGATATTAGCTGGTTATTTTGCTCGTTAGTTGATGCAGTTTCTTCCTAGCCTCGATGGTCTTTACATTTTGGCATGTTTTTGCAGTTGCTGGTACTGGTTGTTCCTTTCCATGTTTAGTGCTTCCTTCAGGGTCTCTTGTAGGGCAGGCCTGGTGGTGACAAAATCTCTAAGCATTTGCTTATCTGTAAAAGATTTTATTTCTCCTTCACTTATGAAACTTAGTTTGACTGGATATGAAATTCTGGGTTGAAAATTCTTTTCTTTCAGAATGTTGAATATTGGCCCCCACTCTCTTCTGGCTTGGAGAGTTTCTGCCGAGAGATCTGCTGTTAGTCTGATGGGCTTCCCTTTGTGGGTAACCTGACCTTTCTCTCTGGCTGCCCTTAACATTTTTTCCTTCATTTCAACTTTGGTGAATGTGACAATTATGTGTCTTGGATTGTTCTTCTCGAGGAGTATGTTTGTGGTGTTTTCTGTATTTCCTGAATTTAAATGTTGGCCTGCCTTACTAGGTTGGGGAAGTTCTCCTGGATGGTATCCCTAAGAGTGTTTCCCACTTGGTTCCATTTTCCCCCTCATTTTCAGGCACACCAATCAGACATAGATTTGGTCTTTTCATATAATCCCTTATTTCTTGGAGGCTTTGTTCATTTCTTTTTCCTCTTTTTTCTCCAGACTTCTCTTCTCACTTCATTTCATTCATTTGATCTTCAATCATTGATACTCTTTCTTCTAGTTGATCGAGTCGGTTACTGAAGCTTGTGCATTTGTCACGTAATTCTCGTGTCATGGTTTTCAACTCTCTCAGTTCACTTATGCCCTTCTCTGCATTGATTATTCTAGTTATCCATTCTTCCATTCTTTTTTCAAAATTTTTAGTTTCTTTGCACTGGTTACGTAGCTCCTCATTTAGCTCTGAGAAGTTTGATCGACCGAAGCCTTCTTCTCTCAACTCATCAAAGCCATTCTCTGTCCAGCTTTGATCTGTTGCTGGCAATGAGCTGTGTTCCTTTGGAGGGGGAGATGTGCTCTGATTTTTTGAATTTCCAGCTTTTCTGCCCTGCTTTTTCCCCGTTTTTGTGGTTTTATCTGCCTTTGGTCTTTGATGATGGTGATGAACTGATCGGGTTTTGGTGTGGGTGTGCTTTCTATTTGTTAGTTTTCCTTCTAAAAGTCAGGACCCTCAGCTGCAGGTCTGTTGGAGTTTGCTTGAGGTCCACTCCAGACCCAATTTGCCTGGGTATTGGCAGCGGAGGCTGCAGAAGATAGAATATTGCTGAACGGCGAATGTTGCTGTCTGATTCTTGCTCTGGAAACTTCATCTCAGAGGTGTGCCCAGGCGTGTGAGGTGTGAGGTGTCAGTCTGCACCTAGTGGGGGATGTCTCCCAGTTAGGTTACTCAAGGGTCAGGGATGCACTTGAGCATACCATCTCTCCATTCTCAGATCTCAACCTCCCTGCTGGGAGACTCACTGCTCTGTTCAAAGCTGTCAGACAGGGTCATTCACATCTGCAGAGGTTTCTGCTGCTTTTTGTTTAGCTATGCCCTGTCCCCAGAAGTGAAGTCTACAGAGGCAGGCCAGCCTCTTTGAGCTGCGGTGGACTCCACCCAGTTTGAGCCTCCTGGTGGCTTTGTTTACCCACTTAAGCATCAGCAATGGCGGGCACCCCTCCTCCAGCCTCTCTGCCACCTTGCAGTTACATCTCAGACTGCTGTGCTAGCAATGAGGGAGGCTCCGTGGGCATGGGAACCTCTGGACCAGGTGTGGGATATAATCTCCTGGTGTGCTGTTTGCTAAGACCCTTGGTAAAGTGCAGTATTAGGGTGGGAGTTACCCGATTTTCCAGGTGTTGTGTGTCTCAGTTTCCCTTGGCTAGGAAAAGATATTCCCTTCCCCTTTGTACTTCCCAGGTGAGGCAATGCTTTGCCCTGCTTCAGCTGTCCCTGGTCAGGCTGCACCAGCTGACCATCACCGATTGTCCGGCACTCCCCAGTGAGATGAACCTGGTACCCCAGTTGAAAATGCAGAAATCACCCATCTTCTGTGTCGCTCGTACTGGGAGCTGGAGGCTGGAGCTGTTCCTATTCGGCCATCTTGCTCGGGATCCCCCTGCTTATATAATTTTTAATAGTTTATATAATCAATATTTCAACCTCTTTTAAAGTATACAAATATATTTATATCTTTAAAGAACTTTTTTTAAAGTAATTTTTGAATAGATTTGTTTTTATAGATACATGAATGTAAATATACGAAGTTTCATACAATAAACAATATTTTCAAGCAATAAACATTTTCCAAAAATTATAGACATTTAATATTTTAGTGCTTCCTTTCACTGTCAAATGTCTTCCATTTGGATAAATTATAAAGTTGTCCAGAGCAGCTTCTGAAGTCAGTAAGAGCTATAAACTTTCTTCTGAAGATCCTGGTACTTAAATGTGAATCTAACATTCAGATGAATCATGTTTATTAAAGAGAATATTATGACCATGAAGTCATTCTTAAAACTTCCAGACAGAAAGAGTAACCACATTAAGCCAAATTTTAGGACATGAGAAACTCAGTGGCCTCAACATTGTGATAGAGGCATATTCGTCATAGGCGATCCAACAGTTAGTTGGTGTGAACTCCAGGTGGCTGTTAAATGTGGTTGGGTGAAATTTATGAGGTGGTATTTCTCCACTTCCTGCTTTTTTTTTTTTTTTTTTTTTGAACAGGTCGCCAGTGCCCCAACTTCTACCTTCCTATGGCTGCAGTGTAGTTTTAAGTGGCACTGAAATTATAATGATATTGGACAGTTATACAGCAGTGAGCATGGTGGTAATGAATCAAAGTCTTAGATTTTTTTTTCTTACTGTATCAGATTACAAATCACTTCATAGAATTTAAAGATTACTTATTCCTTGGTAGGTTTGTGTAGTGCCCACAATAAGACAATCTTTTCATTTGCACAACTATTTGCAATAATTGAAAGTATAATTTGATTCTCATTTCATATTTCGAGGTAAAGAGTGAGGTAAATTTATTCTATACAATAAAGAGCAAGCATAGGGATTTGATATCTGCATATAGGACTTAAAGGAGCCAATTATAGCCCTTCTTTGTGCCCGATGGGCCAAATATGACATTTACTAGTTTATCTCCTACCCCTATTTGCAATTTTTTCTGAATAAATCCAATCCCCCTTTAAATTTATGGCAATGATACTCTCTCCAAAACCATCTCCAGATTTTGGAAGATAGCTCACCCAATACCTTGTTTCCAGCTTTACTGTGGAGTAGTCACAAGTATTAGTTAAGAAAATCTTCCCACCCCATGTGTAAGTACGTTCTGAAACAGTGTATCATAGGCCCAATGATGTAGAGGTACCCTGGAGCTTCAGACTTTACCAGGCTAGATTCAACCGCTGGGCATAAATGAATCACACAGACTGCAGGAGAAAGATTTTCTGGTCCTGCCAAAAGAAGAATATTGGAATTTGACATATTTTCATTTACATAATACACATGATTCCTTTGCACTTTTGATTTTCTTTACTTATATTGCTAATCCAAATAACATAAAACAACACATTGCAGCAATTGTATGCATTACTGCTTTGTAATAAAAATCTAATAAAGATGGCTCCTGATATTACGAATTAAAATAATAATAGTGATTAGTAGCAGCAACGATAGTAATAATGCTGATTATATACCAGGTACCCTGCTGAGCATTTTATATATCGTATAATTTTCATAAGTGATTTTTTAAGATCTATGCTATTATTATCCTCATTTTTCAGATTAAGAAACTAAGGCATGAAGAAGTGAAGTCATTTGTTCAAGGTCAGGCAGCTACTAAGTGAGAGAACAGAGAATTAAATCAAGCTGCCTGGATCCCAAGGTCATGCTCACAACTGGAGACTAAACAGCCTCATATTAGATTTCCTCCATGGAAAAATATCCTATTTTCATATGGTGAACTATATATTTAATATTTTAATTTTGCTAACACATTATTGTTTTTTCACTGTACATAAGTGAAACTGTTCTTTTCTTTTTTATTAGTGTGTTTGTGTGTGCACATGAAAATTTGTTTTCTTTCTTTTCTATTTTGGTCAAACTTTCTTTGTATTTTCTACTTTGTAAAATAACTAAGAACATTTTCATGTTTTCTATGTCCTATAAAATAAAAAGCATTTAACCCTTAAAAGACTGAAAAATTAAGCATATGACTCCTTGAAATTGAAACTTTTTTAACAGTTAATGACTACATGGCTCTGCAAAGTATTCTCTTTCAATTTTTGAATGTCTTCCATTTTCATTTATTCCATAAATATTTATAGGAGCCTACTATGCCTATGAGTTGTTAGGTTACAGATGTGGTAGTTTATAAATTAACAAAATGAACAAAACAATGCCCTGAGAATTAAGAAGCTTACTATGAATTCAGTTTTATTATATCTTCTTTCTGATTTCTAATATTGTTGTATTTTAATATAATATGTTGTTTTTAATTTCTTCATTAGAACTTGAAATAAATTTTGTATTTTTCAGTTTATTTGCTTTCTTCTAAGAATTATTCTTAGACTTATTTATTAATTATATTTTTATTTCATTTTTACTACCTTCTAAGTAAATGATTTTGGTGTTTATGTTTACTTATCATCTCCTAAAATAGAAGGAAACAACATAATCCCTTAAGTCCATGCAATTACTTTTTAACATAGCTTTGGTCACATACTATATATGTGGATATTATTATTCTTAGATTTATTGAATTTAAAGTGAATTTATATTTTTCTTTTTATTGTTCTAGTTGTATACAAAAATTTTAATTATATATCCAGATAAAAGGATGCTCATGTTTACAATTTTGCTGCTAAATTTGGATATGTCAATATTATCGTCAAATATTACCTAAAAACTTGTATTATTTGGAATTTGTTGAGAATTTTCAGTGTGTTTTATGAATGTGTATATAAATATGATACTTGCTTCTTAATCTATTAGCATTAATTTTACTTCTTAATCTATTAGCATTACTTTTACTTCTTAATCTATTAGCAATACAATAATCAAATCCTTTATATCATTAATTTTTATCACATTTGACCTGAACTCATATAGCAATAGTAATTCATAGTACTAAAGCTTTTCTTAGTCAATTTATTCTTGCATAAATCACTATTTTGCCTTAATTGTGAATTGTGTCTAGGATCAAATTAGTATGATCCCTTCTTGCTCCTTTAATTTGTTGTACCATTAATTTTATTCGTTTGATTTTAATATAACAATTTCTAATATATATTTATGTTTATCTATTAAACCATTTATATAAAGTATAAACACTATCAACCTTTTGTACCATTTTGGTTTCCAGATACCTTTTGTGAGCAGCATATTTGCTTATGCTGCTTTCAATAAGCAAATTGAAAAGCAAAAGTTAAATTTGCTTATTGAACAAATTGCCTTTCCCTTTAACAAAGGAAGTTAAATTAGTCATATTCATGGTTATTGCCAAAGTTTGTTTCTCTGACTTCTTAATACAATGCTTTTGTTTTGTATTGTAAACATTTACACTGTTTTCCTTGTGGTCTGTCATTTGCTACATGATTGACATTTCCTTTGTTTTTATGTTCCAGTGGGTATTTAAAATTCTGTGAGTGTTATCTTTAAGTTTTTGAAGTCAAATTAAACAAATATTTTTTTAAGAACTTACAGCAGGAAAAAAATATGACTTTTTACTTTATAAGATATATATTTGAATTTTTTGCTGTTTTCTCCTCATATATGATTATCACTTTTTGTAAATTTAATCAAAAATTATAAATGTTCACAAATATTGTAAAATTATTTTTTATGATATTTGCACTCATTTTAAATTATAGTTATAGTACTTACACAGTCTTATCTCCTTTACTGAAATGCCTCCAATATTTACTGCTACTTTTTTTAGTGCTATGAGTGTTTTGCTTTTGAGCATATCCAGAATATATTCTTAAGAAATTTTTTCAGATCATCAGCAAGATGATGAAAAGAGAGTTTTCTACTGTTATTCCTCAACAGAAGCATCAATTTTGCAACTACCCATGGACAAGATTATCTTTGTAGGAGTCTGAGTTCAGCAAAGAAGTTCCAGCACATTCTCAGAGCAAAAGGTTTGAGTATACATACAGAGAAGACAGTAAGAACAGTTGCACTTTACCTGCACCTTTCCTCCTCCAAGGTGTCAAAGCTCAGTGCCAAGAGAGATCTCCTTAAGCCCATTTCTCCCATAAAGGAAAGTGAGAGTATAGTAAATAAACTGTCAGTTCCCTGACTGTGTGAGATGCTGTCCAAGAGCCCCACTTCTTTCTTGTTTTACCCAAATTACCGAGGTGATTCGGCACAGGTGAGAGATTGGGAGAGGGTAGAACCAGAGAAGAGAGGCTGTGGACTCTCATAATTGCTCCAGTGGACTCCATCAGGAAGTTTGTCCATGAGGCGCTCGAGATGTCTCACCTACGGACACCCCCAGTGGCCCAAGACCACTGCAAATGCCTTTCACACTTCTCCCACCCCCTGGATGAAAGGAGGATAGAAAAAAGACACACAAACTGGAGCCTTTCAAAGCACTGCTCTAACAGATAATAGAAAAAAAGGTAAATGTCCATTGACAGATAAAATTAAGAAAATGTGGTGTGTACAGATATACAATTCCATCATATATTTACACAATGGCATATTATTCAAACAAAAAAGTAAGGAAATCCTGCTATTTGTGACAACATGGATGAACATGTACAATATTATACTCTGCCATATTGTACTATATTATAATAAGAGAAATAAGCCAGACACTGAAAGACAAATACTGAATAATTTCACTTATATGTGGAATCTAAAAATGTCAAACAGAAGCGGAGAGGAGAGGAGTCAAACTCAGAAGCAAGGGTGAAGGTGTGGGAAAAATGGAAGATGTTGGTCAAAGGGTACAAACTTTCAATTATGAGACTAATAAATTCTGAAGGCCTAATATACAGTATGGTGACTATAGTTAATAATAACATATTGCATACTTGAAATTTGCTAAGAGAGTACATCTAAAAAATTATCACCACACACATACAAACACATACACACATATACACAATAGATAATTTTGTGAGATGATGGATATGTTAATTAGCTTGATTGTGATAATCTTTTCACAATGTATACATATACAGTAGTTCACCCTTACCCACAGTTTTGCTTTCTGTGGTGTCAGTTACCTGTAAAACAATACAATAAGATATTTTGAGAGAGAGAGAGATACAGAAAGAAAGAAAGAGAGAGAGACCACATTCCCATAGCTTTGATTACAGTATGTTGTTTTAATAATAGGTCTACTGTATTATTAGCTATTGTTGTTAATCTGTTACTGTGCCTAATTAATGAATTAAGTTTTATCATAGGTATGTATGCATATGAAAAGACAATATATTTAAGGTTTGGTACTATCCATGGCTTTAGGTATCCACTCAGAATCTTGGAATGTATGCCCTACAGATAAGGGGGGACTATTTTATCAAAACATCACATTCTCACATTCCATACCTCTAAATAGATATGCTTTTTATTTGTGAATTATATCTCAATAATCTTGAAAAACAAAACCAAAACTGAACAAAATATTTCCAGAAATATTTATGGGTGGCTTATTTTCTTTTTTCTAATGAATCTGAGAATATTTTCTGTGGCTTCCATATAGTGAATGTGTATTAGGTTATTCAAATACAAATGCTGTACAGATCATTTCATTTGATTCTGATGTTGTTGTGGAGAATTTTTAAACCAGTTTAATTTTTGTGTTTTGTTGATAATCTGTTCTTTTACCTGGATTTAAAAAAATATTTAATATTAAAATTTTTAGATGTTGCTATTGGTTGGTATGCTGTTATTATTATTATTTTTTTAGTACGCTGTTATTATTATTGTGATCAAAACAATTTCAAAACCCTTTCTCTTTTCCAATTCAGAACATTTCTTCAATTATATGTTTGATTACTGTTTTCTGTTTTGTTTCTATTCTTTCTTACATTGAATATGTTCATTCTAAATTATATATCTTCTCCATATGTTTTTCTCTCTTTTATTTGTTCTTACTATTTTCATGTAATTTATACACTATGGCTTGAATATTTTTGTCTCTTTCAGAATTCATGTTGAAACTTAATTCCCAATAGAACAGTATTAGGAGGTGTTGCCATTAGAAGGTGATTGAGTTTCTCATGACTAGGATCCGGTGTCCTTAAAATAGGGTATGATGGAGGGAGTTCATTCATTTTTGCCCTTCTGTCTCATCTGCCACATGAGGAAACAGCATTTCTTCCCTCTGGGGATGCAGCAACAAGGCCCCATTAAGGGAGCAGCAAGAGCATCCCTCGCTGCACAAAAAAAAAAAAAAAAAAAGAAAACTGCTGATGCATTAATCTTGGACTTCTCAGTCTTCTGAACTGTGAGGAAATAAATTCCTGCTTATTATAAAATACCAGCTTAGGTATCTTATTATATCAGCACAGTTGTGCTAGGACACCCTATATAATGGAAAATTTTATCAAATTTACTTCTGTATTACTGGTTCAATTTTCTGCTTCCATAATTCTGTTCTTTCTTATTGCCTTCAATTATCTTTGTATTTCTGATAATAGTCTGACACTTTTATTATTTTTTAAACTTTTAAATATTTTTCAATGAATTGGTTTGCCATTTTAGTTCAAACTGCCTCTTAACTAGCCCAAAATTAATACTTGCTGACATATTTTCATCAGTTGTTCTTGTATCCTCATCTAAACACTGTTTTATGAAAAATATAAAAGAAATAGATTATGTTTTCTTCCATTTTCATAGAGAAATTACCTTAAGAATATGATTCCCCTGAGTTATCTGTGTCATAATTAGTATCTTGTTCTGGGCATACAGAGAGAATAATAGGTATCAGAATTAATCGTGGAGCTCTTAAAAAATTACCTTTTGTTTCCCTACCGACTGAACTCCTGAGAGTGTTGGCCTATGGTTGGGCCAACTATATTATCTATTTTTATTTGTATTTACAGCTCTACAGCTAATAATTATAATTAAGTACGTTTGAGAACCACTTGGCTAAAGA